AGGAAGGAAGGAAGGAAGGAAGGAAGGAAAAAAGGAAGGAAGGAGAAGGAAGAAAGGAGAAGGAAGGAAGGAAGGAAGGAAGGAAGGAAGGAAGGAAGGAAGGAAGGAAGGAAGGAAGGAAGGAAGGGTCTGAGAGATATGCCACAGCCAGGAAAAAGGAAAAAAACAAAAAAAAGAAGAAGGGAAAGAGCCAGCTGGTGAGAGAGCGTTTGGGTACTCACTCCGGCCAGTGACTTCTGGATATTCTCCCTTGCTCTGGCAATGTCGCGCAGGATGGTGCTGGCGCCGTTCTCCTGCAAACATGCAGAAAGAACCAAGTGGTGTGTTTTCCTTCTCGTTCTCTCTTTCTCTTTGTTCCCAAAGAGGTGCATACAGACACAGGTGGAATTCCCCAAGGGCGGCTCAAAAGGAAAGGGGTCCTTTTTTAAGGTGCGCAACAGCCGGCCGTGTGGAAAGGTCGGGGGCATGAACGTTCGCCTTAGCGCAAAGGGCTGAAGGAGACGTTTCCTGCGCTGCGCGGAAGGCAGGCGGCTGTCGGTCAGGGACGGTTGCCGAGGTGTTTGTTTTTTTTAAAAAAAAAAAAATACACCAGCGAAATTTTAACGTTTCCCCATTTGTTCTTTGCTCCTCCCGCTAGGATGATGATTTATCGCAGGGCACGTTCGCATCACATTTCAACGAGTACAAAGAGAGGAAAATGCAAAATAGGACACAGAAAATCTAAAAATACTGGGAATGTTATGCCCTAGGGGGTCAGGGGTCTCCAACCGTGGCCACTTTAAAGCTTGGCGGACTTCAACTCCCAGAATTCCCCATTCAACCATGCCTGTTGTTCTTTTTCTCCTACTCCTCAGAGTGGCGAGATTGCAGAGAAAGGTGTTGGGTATATGAATACTCCAACTGGTTTGGGTGAATAAATATATGAACCTAGGTTTAAGTGTTTGTAGCTTTAAGCACAAAAACTGCAATGTAATGTGATAATTATGGGTGCGGTTGCAAGCTGCAATAAGAGGCAGTGAGAGAGACGTAACACTTCCTGGTTATTGGCCTGGTTTACTGGTTTCTGATCCTGGTCTCTGGTTACTGTTTGCTGGTGTTACTGGTCGCTGGTCTGCTGGTCTCTCTGATCTCTGCTGCCTGCTGTTTACTACTGTTATGAGACGTCTGCTTGCTGGCTACTGTGCAAGATACCATTTCTACTGAACAAAAGGACTGTTTACTTGGTGAGCTGTGCATACTCAGCGTTGTCTTTGAGAGAAAGGTATCGGAAGGAGAAGATTTACAAGCAGATAAAGGCATTGTATTTAACTGTTAATTGACTAGGTAACTGGATGGATATACTGGATATTGACATATGGACTGAATGACACTTCTTAATCTCTGTGTGAATTAAATAACTATTTTAAAACTACAAACAGTGTTTTTGTCTCCAGTGTGTGTATACTCTTGGGCCCAGCCTCTCTCTCATTTGGCTGCCTGGCTTGACTGCTGCTGTACACTCTGCTTGGGGGTTTGTCCCCAAACACTAACAAAAGGGATGACAAGAGAGTAAGCAGGCAGAGAGTTGAAAGTCTAGCGAAGCTGGCTTGGGGGGGTTCTGGGAGTTGGGAGTCCACCAGTCTTAAATCAGGGGTCCCCAACCTTAAGACTGGTGGACTTCAACTCCCAGAATTCCCCATTCAACCGTCCCTGGGGGGCGGGGGGGGGTGTCCCCTCCTATTCCCTAGACTGGAGAGTTTGCAGAGAAAGGGATGACAAGAGAGTAAGCAGGCAGAGAGTTGAAAGTCTAGCCAAGCTGGCTGGGGAATTCTGGGAGTCGAAGTCCGCCAGGCTTTAAAAGTTGCCACGGTTGGAGACCCCTGGACTAGACCAGCGGTCCCCAACTTTCATGGCCCAGAGAGGGGTGGGTAGCAGAGGGGAACTGGCCCGCGCACGCAGTTTGCCGCTTGCCCAAGACCAGCTGCGCGCCGCTGCCCGGTTCCGAACGGCCCAGGGCCTAGTAGCGGACGATGGCTTGGGGGTTATGGACCCCTGGTCTAAATCATCTTTGACAAGTTCTTTGGTAGCAGAAACGCAGGTTGCCTTCAACTTGCGACCCACAACAGAGCCCAAAACCTACGTTGCAAAGTGAGAAGTCTGTTCAGTGAGCTTGCCCCCCCCCTTTCACAACCTGCCTTGCCACAGTTGTTAAGTGAATCACCGCAGTTTGTTAAGGGAGCAACGGGGTCGTTAAGGGAATCTGGGCTTCCCCGCTGACTGTGCTTGTGGGAAGGTCGCCAAAGCGGAATCACGTGACCCCCCCCCCCGGGGCCCCGCAACGGTCATAAATACGAGTCAAAATTCAGCGCCCGAATTTTTGAGGGCTACAACAGTCGTAAGAATGAAATATGGTCCTCGGAATGTTGCCAAAGGGGATCATCACGTGACTGCGGCAACTGTCGTAAGCATGAGTCAGTTGCCAAGCGTCCGAATTTGGGATCACGAGTTCGTGTGAATGCAATGGTCGTTAAGTGTAGCAAACGGTCCTAAGTCCCTTTTTTTCCAGTGCTGCTGAAACTTCCAAGGGTCGCTAAATGAACTGTTGTAAGTCGAGGAGTTCCCTGTGGCTGGATGGGGAAGTTAAGTTCCATACGTTTCCAGTAGGAAGTTGGAACCAAACAGCAGGAAGGGTGCACACCTAAGCACGATGCATAACTGGGATTTGTGGGTGTGGGTGGGGTGTGTTTGCAGCCCTCTGCAAACTCCGCTTGCACATCACTTTGTGGCAATAGCTGTGGCCAGTTGTGGGCAACTCTTCATAGCTACCTATTGTGGTTTGCCGGCAGCAGGTGTGGACGGCTGAGGTCTCGGAGAGCGAGGACTCAGATGAGGGGCCGGCGTGTGATGCAGGGATGGGGCCAGGACCATCAGGGAGTGGAGTGCTGCCTTTGGAGATTGCGGAGGCTGGCAGCAATGAGGAAGAGTCCCCCGAGGAGCCTGTGCCCAGGGCTGCTCGAAGGAAAGAGCAGCTGAAGCAGCACGGGCGACTCGGGAGTAAGGCTGCAAGGTGACGGCCCCTCCCTTAAGAGATAAAAGCCAGCGGAGAAACCGGAGTTCTGTGCAGGAAGCAAAGGCATTTTTTGCACTCAAGCCTTGTGGATGTTCGGAATATCTTGGTTGGTGTTTGGAGACTCTTTGTGTTGGAAATATTTCTTGGCAACTTTCTCTAGTGTTCTTGGCAGCCTTGCACCACCTTGAAAGGGCTTGCTCTTATCTGGGACAATTAGTTTTAATGACTCTTTGCTGTGAATAAACAGAATTCACAGAGATGCATTAAAAAGGTTTGCTTTTATCTATACTTTGTGTTTGATTTGAATGAGGCTTGGGTCATAGCACTACCTCCAGAAATTCCAGAAATGCAATACCTCTACAGGGGTGGGGGCAACCACCTAAATTCTGTATTAGGTAGGTGAGGGAAACTATGCCTAGCCAAACCGCCCTTAGGCCACACTCATGCCACTGTCAGTAAAATAATTTGCCGTAAAAAGGAGACGCATGCAAAATACACCCCAAACTGCTTCCATTCTATCGGTTTCCGGCCCAAACATAATTTAGTAGGTTCATTTGGGGAAACTGAGAAATACAATAAAATATAATTTATCTTCAGGATATTCCAGCCAGCACTGCAAGATGAGTAATTTTATTTTCTATTTCTATATTGCCCGTTACACTTGAGTGCCTCTGGGTGGTTTATGGGTATCAAACTGGAGGCAGTTTAAATTCTGTGCTCCCCAATTTGAACAAAACTCTGCTTCTATATTAAAGGCCTTTAAAAAGGACCTATCCCTCTGATCCCCAATCTCAAGGACTGAGACATTAAAATGAAAAAATGAGGACACTGGGGGGATAGGACAGGCAAAATTACTGGGACAAAGAAGCAGAAAAGGCTTGTGATAGACTAGCTGTGGGATGAGAACAGGCTGATCAAACAATTCCCATTCAGATTTTTCCACCAGCTAGAGGGTGACAAACACTTTCTCCAAAAGTGAGGAATAAAATCCATTTTTTTTTATTTTAAAAAAAGAACTTTTTCAAAATATAACTGCAGTACAAAATTCCGATCAACGCAACTCCTGAACAAAGCCCCACGTATAACGGGTTGCTTTAAGGTGTCCAGATAGTGTCGCTTGTGTGGGGTCTTCGGTGCTCCTTGAGTTTGGTGGCTTTCTTCCAGACATTTCACTATCCCACTAACATCATTAGTGCTAGAAGGGAGCACTAGATAGAGCACTGATGATGTTCCCTAGTTGGGTCATGAGATGTCTGCAAGGAAACCATCCAGCTCAGAGAGCACCAAGGACCCCACCATTCAACCCTGAGCTACAAAGATTCCTTTCTATTATAGCATCTTTTGAGTCGTGAGCATTCAAACCCCGGAGAAACAATTTTCCACACACAACCAGGAGAACCACTTAAAACCAGTAGCAGCTGCGTGGAGACGGGACATCTAACCAAATTACTGGAAAGCACTTTCTCGGAAGCCAAGGGACTTGGGGAGATGGAAATAAGAATAATTGCCCCAAAGTTGTTTCTTCTGCAGGGACCCTACCGTGAGGGCTTCTGGGGGCTTGTTTTAACAAGCCAGTTTCAAACCAAGAACCCTGGCTTGTCCTAGAAGAGAGGCAGGCAATGGCCCCAGTGATAGGCAATGCAAAAATGGAGGAATTTCTCCTATAAGGGAGGAAAGAATAAACTACCTGGGGGATTAAAAGTCTCCTGTTAGCTATGGTACTCCGATACCTGTGAGCCAGGAGCTCAGATTACTACAAGTACAGGTTAATCCTCAACTTACAACAGTTCTTTTAGTGACCATTCAAAGTTATTGGAGTCTGATTCTGAGGGGGAGATTGAGCAGCTGATAGGGAGTGGGGGTGTGGCTCCGGTGGCTGTGGAGGAAACTGGGGAAGGGCACAGTCCGGCTGGGCATTCAGAGGAAGACCCAGGGCAAGCCCCTCTTCATCCTAGGGCACGCAGGGAGGAACGGAGAAGGGAGCAACATGGCTTATGGGAAAGGAAAGGGCCCTGATCCCTTTCATTAGTTGCAGCTGAGGGAACAGGATATAAGAAGGGCGTTTGCACACAGCACCTTGCTGGAAGCAAAACGTGCATTATCTTTGTCGAAGCTTATCTGGGTTTTGGCGTCCTCCCAACTGTGGGTGCTGCGTTATCTTTTGGAAGTCTGCAATTTATCATCCCTGGCCTGGCTTGTTAATTACTTCAGTGTGGTTTGTGTTGGGTTTTTTTAATTTTATTTCTAATTTATCTGTACTTTGGGTTCGGACTGCATTTCTTCCCTTTGTAGACTGTTTTTGGAAGAATCTGATCTCCCACCGAGGATAACTGGACATTGGGCGCCAAGTTGGAGGCATTAAAGGGACTTATGACCATGCTGCACACTTACATGTTGCTGCCATCCTGGTGGTCACGTGATCAAAATTCAGACACATGGCAACTGGCATGTACTTATAAAGGTTGCAGTGTCCCGAGGTCACTTTGGCGAACTTCCGACGAGCCAAATCCATGGGGAAGCAGGATTCACTTAACTACTGGGTCCCTAACTTATCAACGGCAGCGATTCACTTAACAAACAATGGCAAGAAAGCTCGCAAAACAGGGCAAAACAAATGCCTCACTTAACAAACAGAAATCAGGAGCTCAATGATGGTTGTAAGTCAAGGAGTACCTGTATTTAGTGTTCAGACTGAATGTGGCGTGTTACAGGTAATCCTTGACTTACCAATATACCTTTAGCGACCAAAGTTACAATGGGAGTGGGGGGGGGGGGGGGGGACTTAGGACCATTTTTCACATTTACGACCATTGCAGCATTCCCCCAGGGTCACATGATCAAAATTCAGACCCTTGGCAAACGATTTGTATTTATGACAGTTGCAGTGTCACATGTTTCCCCTTTTGCGACCCAAGTCCATGGGGAAGGCAGATTCATTCACAAAACTGTGACTAACTTAAGTGCAGCGATGTTGTGGCCACCAGCGGTCAGTGGAGCTGGCGGCAGACTCGGACAGTGAGGAGGTTGGGGAGGAACCTGGGCCAGTCCTGGAGTCTGGGGAAGGCTTTAACAAGTGCTCTGCGTGGGAGGCAGAGATAGGGCCAGGTCCATCCAACAGTTATCAGCTGCCTTCAAAATCAAAGATCGGTGGGGCAGAAGAACAGCTGGAGCCTGTTCCCAGTGTGCGCATGCACAGAGCTGCCAGGAGAAGGGAACAGCTAAGGAACAAGGGCCGACTCAGGAGTAAAGGCTCAGGTGGACGGTGAATAAAAGAGGACCAAAAGGGGAATGGGGTTTGCAGGAGACAATTGGTTCGTTTAATTAGGGTGAAGATCTGTTCCTCCATTCTTGCCAAGTAATTGCTGCTACAGCATGGCATTTGGAAGCTATCGGCCTGGCAACTCTCCCACAGCCTGAGAAAGGTCTGTGGTTGTGAAATCTCATGAAAGACTGTTTACCTGGACTTGCGTGAATGTGAATTGTAGCAACTGGTTCGTTTAATTAGGGTGACCAAATAAAACCAAATAAAAGAAGGTTCTGTCAGGATGAAGAGTCTGTTTCGTGATTTTGTGAAGCCTAAGTCAGAACAAGCAATTCGCTTAAAAACTGTGGCAAGGAAGTTCGTAAAATGGAGCAAAACTCACTTAAGAACTGTCTTGCTTTAGCAAAGGAAATTTTGGACTCGATTCTGGTTGTAGGTCAAGGACTACCTGCGTGTTACTTCAAGGGTTACTCAGGAATCGGGCCACCCCCACAAAGGAGCAGAACCCTCAACCATTTCCTTGACTCTCATGAAGGTGGCCCCTTCCCTCCCTTGTCAAAGACCCCAAATTATTGGGAAGTACAAGCCTTACCCAATTCCAAATGTGACCGACAATAGAACAGAGTTAAAAACGGCCGGAGAAATACTTTCTATGAATCCAGTTACGATGCCGATCACCGAGCAGAGATGGCACACAATTTGTACTTGCTGGTTGCGTTAGGGGGAAAAGGACCGATCTTGCCATAAAGCTCTTCGGGGCTTTCTCAATAAGTGACCCTCAAAGGGGAGGTGTCTGTGGCCTGTCAGCCGCCAGCCTCCCCAGCAGCCAAATCAGAGGAGGGAGGGAGATGGCGTGGGAGTCAGGGTCAGAGAGAAGTTTGCAGAGAGAGAGAGAGAGAGAGACAGACAGACAGAGACAGAGACACTGAGGCGGAGCCTAAGCCGTCCGTTTGCCCTCAGATGGGGAGTCAACAGCCTTCAGGTCTGGAGGTGGGTGATGAGGAAGAGGAGGAACAGCTGGGTCCAGTGCCTGATGCGCAGATGCACAGAAGGGAGAGGAGAGGAGAGCAGTGGAAATCTATGGGCTGGTCCTTGGGAACGGAAGAGCCACGGCTGTTAGCAAAGCCGCACCTGGGGATAAAAGGCAGGGGACAGAGATGGATAGATGTAGCAGACAACTACCCATCTTCTGCACGCACGGACTTGTTAGCCTGCGGTGAAAGAGAAAATATTGCCGGGGCTGCCAGCACTCCTAATAAAGGAACCAGTGCTTCAACTACAGAGGGTTTGTCGTGGGTTGGGGAGTTGGGTCAGAACGCAAGGCCTTGTGGAGACATACACTAAGAAGAAAAATACGAGCTTCGATGGACCAGAGTAAAGTAGTAGAGAATTCACAATTACGGATAGAAGCACCACTTGTGTTGGGCCAGATATGAGAAGCCACCTGCGGCTTGGACACGGGAGATGTTCGCATCTTACCTGCTGGCAGGAAGGGCTGTGGGCTGGACCGTTCATCTGTTCATAGTACCGTTTTTCAGCATCGTCGTATTTGAATTTATCGAACCAGATCTTCTCATGCATGAGGAAGTGGGTTGCCATTTTTCTGCAAAGAGGAGGTTAAATAAGTATTTGAAAGCACTTGGTTTTAGGATCAGGTCACCAGAGGACCACGAGACATTCCTCTCTCCATCCCTTAGGGTTGCACCTGGTAAGAACTCACTAACCCATCACTCTAGATCGGGGTGTCCAACTTTGTGCCTTTAAGACCTGTGGACTTCAACTCCCAGAATTATGGGAGTTGAAATCTACAAGTCTTAAAGGCGCCAAGGTTGGATACCCCTGATCTCTACGGAAAAGCTAATCAAAATGCAATCAAAGAAACGATTACTCAAATTATTCGACACTTGAAAACTGATCGGAACCCTAACCATCAGCTACAAATTGGCTTCAAAGAGGGTACAGAAGGAAACCTATTTTTTCCCCCTCAGAAGATACGTAGACACCAGCATTACAGGCAGCACCCTGATCCTTAAAACGGCACAGAACGATGGGCTTGGAAGTACCCCAATCTTCTCAGCACACTCTGAAAAGGCCTCCACTAATAGGGCCCTCAAAAGGGACTGAACAAAACCACACAACGGAGCAAGGGCCGCTGTTTTACAACACTTCCCAAACTCTTTCGGGGGGGAAACTTTTATCTGGCTGCCTGATAGTTCAGGGGTAAGTGATGGAAACGCAATTTCTCCAGATCTTTGAATCTGCCTCTAGAAAGGAAGCACTTTAAAAAAAAACTGCACATGCTGGATGTGGGGTTGGAATTCAGCAACAATGGAGATAAATGTTCTCTTCGACAGTGAGAAGGAGAGAGTAGGAAAGACGGATTAACAGATCAAATCAAATCACAGGGCAAAAGATTTAAAACCTATCACAAAGTATCACTTGGCCTTAAGAGAAGCTTACTAAAATAGAGATGGGATTACACCACAGAGTGCCATGAATGCCATCAAAAAGTACTTCCATCTCAAGAGACATCCAAAATCTGGTTTATGTCATTCATGCCGGCCTAAAAAAAAAAAAAAAAACTCAAGTCAAGCAGTATCTAAACTGCTTCCTTCAAAACATCTCCGACAGTGGTGAGATTCAAAAAGTTTTACCGCCGGTTTGGTGGGCGTTGGCTTGGTGGGTGCGCTTTGGGTGCATGCGCACACTTTGGGTGCACCCGCGTGCCAAATGTGCACTTTGCGCAGAGGGCGTTTCTACTCAAGCCTGCGCTCTCCCAGTCGCTTCAGCAGCGGCCGCGCGGCACTCTGTAGCGCCGCGCGGAGCAGCTGCGCTTCAAAAGCAGGGAACAAAAGGTGAATATGGTAGCCCGGGCGAGCCCAACAGTAGAACGGTGGATTGCCGCTACCGGCTTGGGAGAACCGGGCCGAACCGGTAGAACACCACCACTGATCTCCGCCCGCTGGTATCCCGCTTTTGAAGCGGCAGTTCCGCAAACATCGTCACCAAGGGGGACCACGACAACTAGGAACAGGACAACTCACCGCGGCCAATTCGCAGCAGGGCAAGAGTTACACTAATAACCGAAGAAATAGTGGAACGGAAGCATGAAAAGGATGCCAAAGGAGAGACGGAATGAAACGGGAATGACAAAAATTACAATAATTCAATGCGCTTCAACTGAATTGTCGATTTGCCCCGCAGCCACAATTTGTGGAGAGTTGGCCAGGTCAAGTTATCTCGCAGCGAGCTGGTTGCGGCAAATTTCTTCCATCTTGCCACCAAGGGCCCAGTTTTTGGAGACTCAGGTGAGGCCTGGATTCGACACCCTTTCTCCAATGAGACCAGGCAGAGACGCCTTCCAACACATTGCATGCAGACAAGCATTAAGCGCGGGAGCTTTTAAAATCTAGATTCACCGAACAAAACACTATTTCATCTCATATTAACTCACATGGACTCTCTTGGTACACATCTGTCAAGTCGACTGAAACAGAAGGAAGAGACGATTTCTTTCCAAACCCTTTAACTTTGGAGCACCCTTCTCAGCATATAGAATAATAAGAGTAGGAAGGGACCTTGGAGGTCTTCTAGTCCAACCCTCCTGCTCAAGCAGGAGACCCTATATCATTTCAGACAAATGTTGGTCCTTAAAACACCCACAACTTCTGAAGGTCAGGTGTTCCACTGATTCATTGTTCTAACTGTCAGGAAATTTCTCCTTAGCTCTAGGTTCTCCTAAAACAGTAGGGTTAAATTCTTTTTTTTCAATAATGCTACTTGGCAAAACGGAGCATCATGAGCCGTGGGTGGCGCAGTGGTAAGAATGCAGTACTGCAGGCTAGTTCTGCTGACTGCCGACTGCCTGCAGTTCGGCAGTTTGATCCTGACCGGTTCAAGGTTTGAGCCAGCCTTCTGTCCTTCCGAAGTGGGTAAAATGAGGGCCCAGATTGTCAAGGGCAAGAGGCTGACTCTTGTAAACCGCTTAGAGAGGGCTGTAAAAGCACTGTGAAGCAGTATATAAGTGTTAGTAGGTAGGTAGGTAGGCCATTGTAGCGCAGTGGTTAGAGTGCAGCACTGCAGGCTAACTCTACCCACTGCCAGGAGTTCAAACCTGACCGGCTCAAGATTGATTCAGCCTTCTGGGGTTGGTAAAATGAGGACCCAGATTCTTGGGGGCAATGTGCTGACTTTATAAGCTTAGAGAGGGCTACGAAAGTGCTGTGAAGCAGTATATAGTTCTAAGTGCAATTGCTATCTTAGCCCTGGCTGTGACCAGCTACATACCAACATCCTCTCCCATGTCTTCTACACGCTGAGCCTGAGTCTTTATAGCTATGCTATTGGGACTGGGAACATCCATCCTCTCTCCCACCCCGCCAAAGACCCCCAACGCATGCTTTTTCCTACTTAGCATCAGGCTCTGGTGCGCTGGAGGGCTGCGCAGCGGGCTGGGCGGCCTTGGCTCGCGTGGCTTCCGATAGTCTGCTGGCCTCTTCTTGGGCAACGGAGGCGTAGAAGCTGGCTTCTGCACTGTCGTACGTGGGCTTGGTGAACCACAAAGACTCCGTGTCTGGGTGCATAAAATGCCAGGCAGGTTGCGGTGTGGGGGCTGCAATTTCGTGGGGCGTCAGAGTCCCACCAGCAGCGTTGTTTCCCCGCTTGCCCGTCGGCTGCTTTCTTGGGCTGCTCCGGCCTTTCTTCTCTTTCCGGCCCTTTCTGGATATGTCCGCGTGGCCACGCTCCTGCAGCCGCACCTTCCCTGGAGGGTGGCCGTCGAACATGTTGGTGTAGAATAACCGCTCAGCGTCATCGTAGAGCGGCTTCTCCAGCCAGACCTCGGAGAGCAAGGCTCGCAAACTGGAGCCCGGAGGTTTGCCATTCACTGTCTGGTTTGCGTCTCCCGCCGGGATGAGCGGAGCGTCGGCAACCTGAGGCTGGGCATCAGCCGTGTGGGCTGGGGTGGAAGGCGTAGCCAAGGCCGTCACGTAGCCCTCATCCGGTGTGACGGGCCCGGCACTAGCCAGCTTCAGGATAGATGGGGGCTGCAGGAGGTGTGCGAGCGTCACAAGTTGGGACCTTTCGACGAAGGCCTTCTCGGCGTCATCAAAGTGGAATTTGTTGACCCACACGTCCTGAACGATGTGATGGCATGCCATGAGGCTGTTGTGGGTGCAGCGCAAGGCGGCCTCGGCCTCGACGGTGTCTTCGGACCAAGGCCCCGCAGCAGCCGGCTCAACGACAGGAGGCGCCACCGGGGGCAAAGAGTCGGCGAGCTTCACATGGTAGGTAGACTCCGCTTGGTCAAACCGAGGCTTGTCAAACCAGACGTGGTCGGCCAACAATCCCGCCAACACGGGATCTATTTGGGGCGCCAAGGACTTGGCTTTCGGAGAATACTTCCTTTTCTTCTGCTTCTTCCCGCTGCCAACCCGCCACAGCTCGGCCTTCAATGCTTCCTCAGTGCAGAAGCCATTCACCGCCACCAGCTCTTGGCCTGGCCCGGCTGCAGAGGCAGCTAACGCTGCTTCTCGCTCATAGTGAAGCCTCTCAGCCTCGTCGTACTTGGGCTTGTCTACCCAGACCTTTTCGGTGGGGTACAGCAGCTTCCGGGTTCTCATCTTCCAAATGGGGCGCCAGCATGAAGAGACAAGCACAAAAGTACAGTGGCTGAAATAACGCACCACAAGCAGCCGGCGGTGCCACGGCGTTCTCCAACCTGGGCGCATGGGCCCTGCCGGCTGGGAACTCTTAAGAAAGGTGGCGTCAGATGTTTGGCAGGAGCAAGCTTGGAAAGGCTGTGCAAGCCCCCCCACCCCCAGCTCCACCATTTACAGGTAGTCCTCGACATACGACCACAGTTAAGCCTCCAACATTGTGGCTAAGTGAGACCGTTAAGTGTATCACTGCAGGGGTTATGTTAGTCATGTGGCCGTTAAGTGAATCTGGCTTCCCCGTTGATTTGGCTTGTCAGAAGGTCACAAAAGGAAACCACGTGACACGCCTGGGATCCTGCAACCGTCATAATTATGAATCAGTTGCCAAGCGTCTGACTGGGTGCAACAGTCGTAAGCGCGATAAATGGTCAAAAGTCACATTTTTAGTGCCGTTGTAACTTGGGAACGGTCACAAAAAAACCTGTTGTAAGTTGAGGACTACTTGTATACATAGCCCTCAATTTATGACAACTGGGGACCAGAATGTCCGTGGCTAGGCAACACAGATGTTAAATGACTCAACGGTCCATTTTATGACCTGTTTTGCTGGGACGGTTAAGCCAGTTGCACCAGTTGCTAAGTAAATCAGGTGGTCATTAAGTGAATCCAGCTCCCCCAATTGACTTGGCTTGTCAGAAGCTGGCGGGGGAAGGCGTCGAACGGTGATCCCACCACCCTGGGGATGCTTCAACCGTGTAAATACATGTCGTTTGCCAGGCACCCGAATTTTGATCATGTGATTGTGGTTATGCTGCAGTGGTGGTTAGTCAAGAGCCAAGGCAAGTCCTTTTTCAGTGCCACTGTAACTTTAAACCACTGGTTGTAAGTTGAGGACTACCTGTATACAAAACCCCAATCATGTGAATGATTGCGCCATTTTTTTTTTAAAAAAAAGTGCTTTAAGCAAATTG